TAATCGCCGTGTTTGCAGCAAAAATGCACAAATCCAGTCTTGGAACAAGACTGAGTTCGAAAGCCACATTGGCTCTCTGGGAGAAGGGTCCTGCTGCAGATGTAAAATCAAACGATTGAGCAAGACACAAGCCAGTATTTCGTCGGCAATTGACGATCGAATGGGAGATCCCTCTGTGGTTGTCACCTGCAGACTGACGATTGCCCTTTAGTCAGGTGGCATATGGTCGGAATCGTGACCGACTGGTCCAAAGCACCAAACTTGGCAGATAGATTCTTATAGCCCTAGAGAAGATATTTAGAAGGGGTGACACCTGAAATTCTTTTGGGAAGGGTGCCTAATTTGCATAAATCGTTAATCCCTGCCATGTAATTTATTTATTCCCATATTTGGGTATATTTTTATTTTTTTTATTTTTTTGAAAAGTGTATTTTGGTGATTCTACTTGCATATTCTTATTTCAATAACATTTTGTAAAACATATAAGTGACTGAATAATAAGGAGGACATAGTAAAGAACCAAAATTGCTACTATTTTACCCTAAAGTTACGCTCATTTACCTTTTCCTCAGATATCATCATCTAGTCTCGCCAAACGTGGGTATTGATGAGCTTCAAATTCACAAAGTTACTTACTGGCATAGTTACCCTAACAAAAATAAGTGGGAAATCAAGTGAAAATTGATAACATCTTGATGTTTAGCCCAAAAGACCCAAAAAGGGGAGAAAATGTGGTGTCCGTAAATTGGGCTAGTACGGGAAGGGTAACGTTGGGACTTGAACAAGTTCAACGAAATCCCCCTAAATAAGAGATTATTGTTGTTTACAATAATTTTGTCTACGCCAAAACGTTTTCTCAACAATAATTTTGGGAATTTCCTTGAACTTGTTCCAGTCTTCCATGTTAGGCAACCCTTCACCTACTTGTTGGCCTAATTTATGGACACCTCGTTTTTTCCCAGTTTTTGTTTTCTGGGCTAAATATCACAATGCTATCATTGTTCACATGATTTTGCATAAGGTTTTAATAAGGTAACTGTACCAGTAAGCTACTTGGTGAATTTGAAGTTCATCCATGCTGATGTTTGGCAAGAGTAATAGATGATATCTGGAGACAAGGTAAATGCGCGCAATTTTTGTGCATAATAGTAGCCATTTTGGATCGTTACTATGTCCTCATAATTATTCGGTCACTTATATGATTTGGAAAATGTTATTTAAGTAAAGATATGTAAGTAGAATCCCCAAAATACACTTTTCAAAAAAATAAAAAAAATAGAAATATACCCAAATATGGGAATAAATATATTACACGACAGGGATTAACGATTTATGCAAATTAGGCACCCTTCCCAAACGAATTTCAGGTGTCACCCCTTCTAAATATCTTCTCTAGGTCTATAAGAATCTATCTGCCAAGTTTGGTGCTTTGGACCAGTCGGTCACGATCTTGACGAAAATTAGATCTAAGCCACCTGACTACTTACGCTGGTACATGGAAGCTCCTTCATTCCAGATTGCTTGAAGTTGGCGTCAGTTTCTGTTGCAGCTTTGTTCCGCCTACTTTTTACACTTCGGTAGGGATTGCATCCGACCCTGGGGCTTTACCGGAGGACAACTGGCTGTTTGCTTTCTTGACTTCCTGCACAGTTGGTGGGGGTGTCAAGCTCTATCAACTTGAGGCATGCGTGTTATGGCGCGCTTCATCGTTGATGGGTGATTAGGACCGCATGAAGTGCTCAGCCCATCGATCCAAGATCTTTGCCTTGTCACTGTTGTAAGGAGGTGTTCTAATCTTAATATTAATTCCATGTTCCTAGTTCCTAATTCGTTCTTAGTTATATAAATCTCTCTCCGCCGGACAGCAAACGGTGGCGCCCTTCATCTTCTACATGTACTATGTAAAAAATTACTGACCTCAGGCTCCTCACCAGTGTGGCCACTGCTTGAAATTTTTTTTCAAGATCTTGAAAAATTGAGACAGAGCGCACGCTTATCATCTACGGGAAGAGACAGTAGATAATATTAGCTAGCGGGGCTGATGGCGTGCTGGACGGTACGGTGAATTCGGGCTGGGGTCAGGAGTGTCCGCAGAGGCTACTGGTGGCGGAGCGACGTACAGCTATCTGCCAATTGTAACTGGATGGAACCGGGAGTGCGCGCTCACATACCCGCCGCCTCGAGGAAGGAGACTAGAAACGATGAAGGATAGTAAAGTGGAGGCGGAATACGCACAGGAACACTAGAGGCGTATGATGGTTTCAAGGGGTTCAGAGGCTATTCCCCAGACAGGCATCGCCGTGCTGCCGGCACTAGCGGCCTTACAGCAGCGCCTTATGTGAGGCTAACCATAACTAGAGGCTCAGAGACCAATAGTTACTTATTAGAGGCTAACATTATAATTTGACGAAAGCTCGATCATACAACATGATTCTGTGTAAATAAATCAATCAGTAATTGAGGTCATTGACTATTTGTATTGATAGTCGTCTGTCCTTGTCCATCTGGAGGTTGAGAGGCGTGGGTGAGTGCCACTAAGCGTATAGGGCGGTATATTTCTATCCAAATGGGCCTGCATTCCCGGCTGCTGGGGTACTGATCCAAAGATAGGTTGTCCGGGTAACGGGACTAATGATCAGGTCACAGATAGTTGTGGCGGGAATATCTGCTAGGCAAATGGTTGCCTAGCAACCATTTGCCCACGTTTTCAACCCTGGGAGGCTTGGGGAGGCGAGGACCATTTTTCATTAATAAATACAACCATGTATGTCGCCTCAATGAGATACAACTAAATTTAATTAAGACGTAGACACAAACTAATAAGCACAGACCAGACTGCTAAGGAACTTCAAGAGTAGGCCGACAGTCTCCCAGTGGACCTCCAGGGAAGGGAGGATGAGCTCCAGCATTGAATGGAGGAGAGTTCACGCCAGGCGGCTACAATAGAAATATTGATGAGTAGGATATCTCGATTAAGGGTTTCTAGGAAGAACCGTAGTAAAGGGACTTCGCTGGATTCCGGTGTACACACTGGACTTGCCTCCATTTTCCAGGTGCAGGGCGTAGTACACGAGGTTTCTGGAGGCAACTCGATGCCTCCAAGGGGTATCATGAAGAAAAAAATCTGTCTTGGATGCGAAAGGCACAATCTACTGGCATTAGAGGAGACACAACGCCACATGTGGAGGCAATTGTGGAGTTAATGAAGCCAGTGGTAGTCATAAGTGAACTAGAGAAAAGTGAGCAGCCAGGTTGTGAAATAGGCCTATAGGAGGCGCAGGAGCCTCTAAGGAGACACCATGGCCGCTCAAACGAGACCAACGAATAATAGGGGATAAGCAGTTACAAGAGAGGCTGACAAAGAGCTTGAGCCGCCCAAGGATTGTCCCAGACCGCTTTGGAGGTAAACAGCTGTGGATAGACTACAGGAAACATTTCGAATCAGGTATAATAGCCAATGGATGGGACGACGAAGAGGCGGCGGTGTTTCTGTCGGCGAGCCTCCAGGGTCCGGCACTGAAGATACTTCTTCACCATAGCGAAGGAGAGAAGAAGAGTCAGAGACATTCATACAGCTAACTTCTCAAGCTTTTGGATGGGCGTTTTGACCGGGAGATCGAGCAAAAAATTTCCTCCTTGAGCTAAGGAATAGGAGGCAGAAGCTGAAGAAAACCGTACAGGAGCTCGGCCAGGCGGTACGTGCATTAGCGCCCTTTTCCTACCAGAATTACCGAAACCGCAAGGGACCGCCTTGCAAGAGGACACTTCTCTGATGCGATAGGCAGAGGCACTACGTATACTCCATCAGAAAGACGACATCAATGAACAACCATGAGGAGAGAAGCGACCGACTCAAAGCAAAACGAACGCACAGGAGGAACCGCCAGCCAAACGTAAGTCTGCCAAGTGGTGTACAGTCGCTCAAGGTGGCCCCCTTGATCTCTTGATCGTACGACCAGAGGCGAGTGGAGGACTGTCTTTGTCACCGGCCTCTTTGTCCTTGTTAGAAGAGGATATGCTAGCCCCAGTGTGTAAGCTGCTTGGTGGTAAGCCTCAGGGGATGCTCTTGATGGCCCAGCAGGATGACACAGAGAGCGGTGAAGAGGAGGCGGGAGTGATGCCACCACAGGAACCGGCTGAGGCAGCTAGCACCCAACAACGCAGCAGCTGTGCGCAGCAGCTGCGCACATCAGAGAGAATCTGCACCCAATCCACGTGACACCTCTGGAAGAGGTACCGAGGGGAAGGTTACCCAGGTGAAGGAGGTATCGACCACCCTCGAGTACCAGGAAGGTTTGAAAGTTCGTGAGCAGCTGTTGGACAGGGTATACGATGTTCAGTTTGACCAAGATTTACGCGAGAAGTAACAGCGCATCCGTGTTTCATACGGTTTCCAAAGTTAGGCTTGTTTCTCCAAGCCACTATTCCATAAAGTTCATATACATTGTACAGTTTTCTTTAAGTTTTCCAAAAAGTTTGGTGAAGTTTTCTATAAAGTTTTCTTAAAGTTTTTAAAGTAAACTGTATGTCTTTTATGAGGGGCATGTATAAAGAGGCGCCAACGTGTTGAAGTTATGGACCTTGTCGTTGTTTGGATCAAAAGTTAGATAATGAATCGTTGAGTAATTTGCTTTGAATCTCAGGTCTTCAGCAGCTGTTATGAACGAGGACGTTCATGCTAAGGAGGCTTTGTGGCCCAAATTACTATAGCGGGCGTAGCCTAAAGAGGGCCAGCTAGCAGCTGCATGGCCCTATATAAGGCCGGGGGCAGTTGCGAGATCATTTCTGATTAGTTCAGTTCAGTTCAGCTCAGATCAGATCTGAGACAACCTTTCGCAGAGCGCACGCTTATCATCTACGGGAAGAGACGGTAGGCATTAGCTAGCGGGGCTGATGGCGTGCTGGACGGTACGGTGAAGTCGGGCTGGGGTCAGGAGTCACGGAGTCGGCAGAGGCTACTGTTTGGGTTATTTTTTTTTACTCACCCTGTACACATTATAAAGCATACCGGTACATGTATATGTACATGTATATGTATCTCTCTCAAAAACTTGTACAAGCATGAGTAAAAACATGTGGTTATAAAAATAAAAGAAAAAAAGTTACACAGTTTGAAGCAATATTTGCAATCATTTTACACAAAGAATAAGTACTTTTTAGTTTTCAGCAAGCCGAGTGATGAATTCATGATGAGAAACCTACAGGTACCTCAAGCAGGATCTGATATTCTGGAGTACAGTACACTTTCATCTTGTGATGAACTGCCATACTATTAAAGGAAGACAACACCTAATCCACTAACTGTACTTTCTTAAAATTGTAATGATTGAAAAAAATTGAGTTATTAGTATAATGGTCATTTATTCTATGAAAAAAAAACACATTATAAATACACAACAGTCTATATAATAATATGAGGATTTGCAAACCCTGGAAATTTCATATGTTTGTCCAGAATTTCCAATTCCGAATCATTTCATACATTGTACATGTATACATATCACTACAGTACATTTGTCTAACCATTTGGTTAAGCTTGCCTCATTGGCAGCCGGACGTGTATGAAAGTGGAGGGGCATAGTACATAAGTTTCAGTTATGGCAAAGGAACAAGTTCACCGAATGTGGGAACCCTCCCCCCCCCACCTGCCGCTGCATATGGCTTGTGTACCAGTTTCAGTTTATTTCGTATGCTTCATACATGTATACAATAAACGCATAAACTGCCAGGTCCTATTCGAAAGTACATGCGCATTTCATGATCTGCGCGGCCCCCGACTAAAATCAAAACTATGGGCAAATCATAGAGCCATATTAAATTACTAGAGTGCTGGCTCGATGTACAAAGTGATGCCTGCTGGGCGCATCCATGTTTGTGCACAAACCTATGGAAAACTAAACATTTTGTACGGCTATTTGCATATCTGCATTTGTATTTTATACAGGTGCATTATCAAAGCTGATACACCCAAAAACCGAAACGTACAATCAGCAAATGAGCGTTTCATTTTGCTTTGCACCATCAACGCAAACAGTGCGTATCTGCTGCAGATGATTTATGCCGGAAGCTTTTTTAACCGTCATGACGCGCTTAAAGTGTTTTGTATGTTTCTACTTGCGCCTTGCATTTAGAGTACACTTTCAAAATTCACTCCATCTAATTTCACAATGTTCTACAAACTCACGCATTAATTAAAAATGTCTGCGTGCAGGACGGCTTCAAAGTATTTCCGCTCACAAGAGTGAGGAGTTAGCGCTCTAGGGTAATTAAATATAGCTCTATGGGGCAAATTTACCTCTTGGTATGGGAAGTTTACACACAGATGAAGAATTCCAGTCAAAAAAATGTTGATTGTAAAAAGATATCCCTTGTGTACCAAGTATGATTTAGGTAGATTAAAAAACAATATGGTACCCATCTTTTTCATGCAGATTTCGAGTAAAACAACCTTATTTTTAACCCCCCAAAAGTATGTACTGTATGCAAATGTACAATTGTATTAATCGCGAAGCCGCATATTGAATGCGCGTTGCATAGTTACGTGCTGTCAACAAACGGTTTGCCTGTACTTTTCCAAATCAGTTTTACTCGCAAGACTGGCGGTCTATCCATTTACATGTATATGTCTGTGGTATGCTTCTTTCTGGATGAATTCAATGGATGATTATAATAAAGCATGATTTTCTCACACACTCAGTAATCTGCAAATTGAGATAACTGCTGCATTTTGTGGAATTGCAAAATGTCTTTCGCATTATGAAAGATGCTGCATTTGCTGAACAAGTTGTTAGTGGTGCTGTCGATTCATTTTCATCATACATGTACTTGCAGATGTGAATAAGTATAAACTTGCATCTAGCTCAGTCAGAATGCTTAATTTTTATAAATTTGTATAACAAAATAGGGCCCTTACATGGTAGTTATTGTATTCTCCAAAATGAATATTGAAATAATATTTAGATTCCCAATGTTTTTGACTGTTTCCTCCTTTACACAGACATTAAAAACAAATAGCAAGATCTTACCGGTTATACATTGCTCTGAATGTGATGATTCATTTTTGTATTTTCTTGTAAATCTGATATTAACAATTTACAGCAGTAAAAAAACACTAAAAACTGACACGTGTTCTGTACATTTCACGTAACTTAAAAAGTAAGACGCACATTTCCTATATTGCCACTAAAAGATTACAGAAAGACAAGCTTGCAAAAAAAGAATAGATGATAATAATGGCGATAATTTAAACTTAAGTTCTGAAATACATGCACTTCAAACCAGATGGAGAATGCCAGGAGTTAATTGATTCTGAAGTAAAAGTCTGTTTGTGTATTCTTGCAAACAAATCTTGACATCCTTCTTTGAGGTCTACAGTTTGCCCACAGCACTTCACCCACCTTCACTTCAACCTCCCACACCTACAAAAGGCACTTTGAGAAACAACCTTATAAAAATGGAAACTTTCTTTTTCCCAAGCCCTTATTCCATCTTTCCCTGGCTAAGCTTTCCAGAAGTGTTGTGTGATGCACTGTTGGCAGGATCTCACCAAATATAAATCTTGCAGAAAAGGATTTACCGTGTAACACCTCTTCCATACAGTCCAATGTCAAATGCTTTCATAAGGGCTACAGTGTCCAGGCGAAAGTTTACAAAGGCTGATGCTGTAAGTCTCCCTTGCTGGTTCAGCTGGTTGTCTTTATTTGTTATAACTGCATCTGTTAGTGAAAACCAAACAAGAATTTACATCTGCTGTAAATAAACCTTTCCTACAAAGTTGCTTCAGAGCAATGAGGAAGTTGTGAGTAGCATAAACTGTATATATCCCCTCCCAAATGTGCATCAGCTGCCGACAGTGGATCTCTATCCAGTGGACAAATTTTGAGTGAAGATGAAAAAAACATTTTCTGCTAGTTCATGTCAAGTAAAAATACATCAATGTGAACAAAGGATTGATATGGACTCACCAGTAGCAATATCATTTATGCCTTCTTTCAAGTGGTTTCTGGTCTGGAGAAAAACAAAATGTGAAATGTGATCGACACTAAGAAATGACTTCACATGCCATTTGTGTGAAAACACCTTTCGCAACTTTGTCCCCTTTTCGTGGGAGATGTCAGTTGAGTTGCAACATGCAATTCTAACATGTATTTTTATTCACTGTAAAAGGTCTCAATATAGGACTTTCCTATAACCTCCAACTACTTTTGATACAGACCAGCCAACAAAAAGTCATGAAAATCAGCATCTGCTGTTTCACGTTTCTGACGGCCCGAGGAGAAATCCATGGGGGAACAAAAATGTAAGATTTGAACCTAAATTATCAAGCAATAACCCTTTTTGTGTGATGTAACTTGACGTTATAATATCATTTTCACATAAGTGGGATATCTAGAGATCCGTTTTACGTCGTCTTTATTTTGACTAAAAACACTGTCCCAAAAAAGTCTGTGGGTGGGAAAAAATAAGCGGAATCGGGTTCTTTAGTGTTTGGTTAATAAATCCCTGAAATTTTCAGAGAATGCATCCGAAACGTCTTATGCATCCCCATACTATTATTATAGGGGATGGTTTTGTACCATAAGCCCACAGACTACTAGCATATGTTTAGGTAAATATCCTGCATATGTCAGCCAGGCATGCACACAGCAAGACCTTTGTGTTTCATTCCCATTTGTTCTCACACTTGTCTTTACCCACAGACAATTCAGTCAAAAACAAAAAATACAATCTGGTTCCCAACGAATCTGCGCTTGAAAAACCCAGATGGCACCAAACAAGTCCTAAGAATGGTTGAAAACAAACAGACAAACATGGTACATTTGAGTGGCGGTCGATTTATAATGGGCAGGGGAAACACTGCTGGCATGATTGGCTGGCTGCAGCCATGCTATAAGCTGTGTAGTGGATGTGATTGTGATCAGACAAAAGACACAAAAAACAGTCCAGTACAGTCCAGTATCCCCAATAATTTTTTTCATTCACCCATGGGGCCGGTTAATCAATAATTCTATTTTAAAATCTAACAAGCTGATGATATGCTCAGCTCACACAATTTTCAGTTGACTGATAATTTTGAACGTTTCTTGAAATTTATACAATTTCTGGATAAAATAGATGGGTACCAAGTTCAAGCGAAAAGCATTTTCCCCTCCCACTTTGTCATGGTGTACACTTAACAAGGTTGGCTGCTGTGATGTGGGTCGTGAGATGATGTTTTTAACACACGAGACCTAGGGCATAGCACTCAAGGCAAAGCTGATTTGCAATTTTCAACTCCGAGTTGGGATGTCACTGGTACATGCCTCATATGTTATTGACATTGTCATCAGAAATTCCTCTTAGCAAACTTGCTTACCAGAATTTGGTACTTGTGTTGTTGGGTGGTAGTCCCACTCTGTTGGCCCTTTCCCTTCAGCTGTCCCTGTCCCATTGTAGGAGAAGCCCTGTTATACTGCAGTTTGTGTCTCCCAGTCATCCCATTTTGGAATTCCTGATGTGGATCTTTGAATCTGAGGAAGAGCTCGGTCTGGCTCTGGTTTTGACTTGAGAATGCCCGTTGCTGTTTCATTTTGTGTCTGTGGTCATTCATAAGTCTGTTCTCTGTTATTCCATTGACACTGGAACCTGCTGTCTTCTGTTTGCCGCTGCTGGGATTTTGCAATGTTTCTGTGATAGTTTGCTGCTGCAGCAGTTGTGGCTGTGTTAGTTTAGTCAGAGCAGCCAGTGGGGATTCAATGCGTGGTGGGTCTTTCTGTCCTTTCCTTTTGATGATTCTCTTCTTCAGTGTTCTTCTCACATAATGGTGGGGAAACGGAGGAATGCGGGGACAAAACACAAAATGTTACCACAAATACTTGTCATTTTGTTAGAAATATTCTTCCTGCCCCTAAAATGAACATTTGGACCTCATCTTTTTTTCATAGGATTTGTCACGCTTGTGACATGCAAGTACCAAAAATTTAACACATTTATCAACAAAATCAGCAATGTTACTCACTTCATGAAGGGAATTGCCATGAAGAAGTTGTTAGGGTTAAGTCCCAGGTTGATCTTGGGTGCATTATCTTTCTTGTTGGTTGGAAGATCATCAATGTGAAACCATTTGACATCCTTAAATCCAAAAAAAATGTCAAAGCAAAAAATATATGTAATGGCTATCATTTCTAAATTTTAAATGAATGACTTTTTGGCATTCACATTTTTCTCTTTTTTTTTTGGCCTATGATGATGAAAACCTTGGGTAAAAACATACAATGGTTTTGTTTCTCAACCCATTTGCACTCAAAGCGTCCGCAACCGCCTTGCCATTCTGGCTTTTAGCAATGGGGGCGGAGCAGTTTTTAAACTTTTATTTTATGGCTGAAAGTCCCCTTATTTAGTGTTTGATATTGTAGATTGTTTTTTTTTCTTCAAAATTAGTACATGTGTGCCACATTAAAGTGACTGATCTTTAACTCTATTGAGATGAAATTATAGCTTTAAATGGAATGCGAGAATATCATGCCACCAGTTGCAACTATGAGTATTCTGTTACTTGTGATTTTAGATGAAGCTATAAACAACAAAATCACTACTAGTGTACTTGCGTATCCAGAATCAAAGAGGATATTCCAACCAAAAGTTGAGTTACAAAGATACAGTGATGTTCAACAAAACCTAACTGAAGGATTTAGCTGCACCAAGCAGTCATTCAGACACCTGTAGCCAAATTATTGTCAAAGAAATCACTAAAAGTAAACTGACTAGGTTCATTTTAAAACATTTCGGTACAAAAATTGATATTACCTTAATTTCTCCCCTAGTCTTTGGTTTGAAGTCGGTGTCCATGGGGACGTTGGGCACCACATACAGCCTCGCTAATTGATCATTAAATGTAGCTTCAATAAATTCCTCCTCGTTAATCAATCCTGTAATGTCAAATCCTGTCTCCTCTTGCACCTGAAAAATGAAAATCCTTGATGGTAACAACCTTGACATGGTTTGAAATACAACTTAGCCCCCCCCCAAAAAAAAATAGCTCTGCTTCCGGTTTCCCTACCTTCCCTTTTCTGACAGCCCCTACCCTAATTTTTCATGGGAAAAATGAGAAAAAAAACACCCAAAATCATCAATTTCTACCTTTTACCCTTGACTTCACGCAGACGCCTCCATATGATCGTACACAAAAAAATTTGGCCGAAAAAAGAAAATGTCCTACCTACCTACCTACCCTATTTTTGAATAAGGGAATAACAGTGTGAGGAGCCAGTCTTCACTGCGTGATAATGACCGGGTGTGGGGGTAACCGCTGTTAATGGACTGAGATGAAGTCGAGGTCCATTAACAGCGGTCACCCCCACACCCGGTCATTATCACGCAGTGAAGACCGGATCCTCACACTGTTAAATTTTTAAAACTTTTTAAAGTGGGTGGGGGATATCATATGTCGCCCCTAACGTATACATGGTACTTTTTCCGTCCCCGTATGAAAATCGTTGCCTCAGAAAGGCTCAGAAAGTAAGCTCAGAAAGTAAGCTCAGAAAGGCTCATTCAATGACTTCAAACTCGAACAAATAATGTTTAAAAGATGATCTTTGGCTCACAAAAATTTGTTTAAATTGTCAAAATTGCCTAGATCGCAACACATATCGTCTAGAGTTCAAAAAGTTTCCCGGACCCCACACCGTTAGGGCTTCGCGCTTTGCGCTTTGCGATCGCATTCTTATCAAGGTATGTCCCCCCACTTTTGAGAAGCAATTGACCCCCTTGGTGAGACATGGGAGGTGGATTTCAAAGCAGGTCTTTTGCTATTTTTTGATTTTTTTTTTATAAACATTCCTGTATTATTCGTGATTGCACTGATAAATAAAGCTGATTCAATGGATATGTATGGAATTACTATGCCATCTTTAAGATGAAAAGACGGACATGGATGGACATTCTTGAATCATACTACTTTCATTCTTATAATTAATCCAGCTCTTGTTCCATTATTTAAAGTAGAATTGGTATCATTCAACACTAAAGCAACCTATTTTATTGATGAAATTGAGATGCGACTGGATACATGTTCATAACAAGGACACAAATTTGTGATAAACTTCTGTTCCTGTTATGAATATGTATGAAGTCTTGCAGATGTACATCCCTGTAGTTCAAAAATACCTACCGGTAGAGGTTTAATGTAAGATTGGCCAGTGGCAATCCCTCAATGGATAGCTTTACTTTAGGAAAAAATCTGGGATAATTCATGCATTTCATTTACTGCTTCCCAACACTTAAAAATAAAATGTCTGTCCATGTTATGAATGTTAAATCTTGAAGATAGTCCTCTGTAATTTCTGGAATCCTGAGAAAGTTATCAAACTTGTTGGTGGACAATGTTCTTACTAGGACATGGGATGTAGAAAGAGGAAAAAAAAACGTGACAGAGTACTTCATGTATCGACTTCTGTCTATGGTTCCCTCTAAATGTCACACCTTTGTTACCGTTTGTGTGGAAAGACCCCTAGGCCTATATCAGTTTTATACAATGATTTACATGTGTATCTACATGTATGCCCCGACTGTCTGTGATATTTAGTGATATTAGTGCATTAACAATGTTCTTAATATATTAAATTGTCAGTTATGTGCTCATCTATGAAAGCCTTATTGACTTCAGTGGTTTGTTCAATATAAACTATGTCAAAGCGATTAAAATGGGGAAAAAAGGCGTTCATTTTGCAATAATACTCACTGTCTACTGTGCGTGTAGTGCAAATTTAGTTTTTTGGGTGGGGTGGTTTTTTTTTTCATGCTAGATACCCACTTCCTATAAAAAATATCCCTCAAATGACACAATGCATCACCTCTGAAGTGGGGGCAATCATATTCCAAAATTTTGATTTTTATCCCAATTATCACCCCCGCTATTTTAGGACCCTAAAAGGCACCAAAAAAAAATTGGTGAAAGTTAGTTCGGGGGGGGGGGGGGGGGGGGACCCCATACATACTAAACTATATGTACTTGAGGGAAACTGGTGAAATAAAAAAGAAAGAAATTTCAACAACATGTAATAAAAGTAGATAAAAATTGCATTGTGTCCATGTAACATCCACAAACACTTTTTCAAATTTCATGCTGATTAACATCACAAGGCTCTGAAATATTGTAGAACAACTTGATTAGTTACGACCAACATTCATAAATACCCGGGACAGTTTACTCATTCCTATTGGTCGAGAGCCTGTCACGTGGGTGGTTTTAAATCCCTGGTAAAACATCGCTGCGTTCTGTGCCACATCGCGCTGCATACAAATTACCTCACATATCGCGTTGCATACAAATTATGACACTGGTTGCATATAAATGACCTCTGCAGTGTGCGCGCGTAGCACTGGTTCGCATGCCATGCGACTGAGAACTGCAATCGTTCATCAGTCTCATGTAAGGCAGGAAAGCTTGTAGATTACAACACACTGATTTTATTGATTTCTTGCAAAGTAAGTTTAAAACCCTTTATCTTTTTGACTTACTGACAGTATATAACAAACAAATTGTTCACTGCTGTGATGTGAGATACAATGTATGTCATTTTTAGCACTCTTGGCTTCACCTTGGTTGCCATACGCCCCTCGGTGTTAAAAATGCCATATCCTACATCACAACAGTCAACAATTGTTAAGTTGAAAACATCCAATGAGACAGGTTCTGGATCACTAGGTATAGTCAAGCCATATGAGATATTCATAAATGCTATCTCAGACAGGAGGCAATTCATTTCTACAGGAGAAAGGGGATTAGGTACATGTATGTTTATCATTGCATGTGGCAAAGCTCATTGGTGCTTCCTTTAATTTTAAGAACCCACCTCTCTTATTGCACATTGTTTGGGAGATTCACCTTGATTGACTTTGCCTTTGGGGAAGCCCCAGCTGGTTTTGCTAAAGAAGCTCTGTACCATAACAATCTGAAAGAAAAAAATCCAAAGCATCTAATAAGAATACCTCTTATGTATTTGTGCATTCACTTAATCACAGTTACAACTAGAGCTAATGTGCTTCCCGAAGCACGCATATCAGCCTAAATTGCCGTTTTATCGGTTTGTCTGAATACTGACTCTCACTGACCACTTCTACATGTGGCTGAGATCGGCAAAAGAATGTAAGAGAAACCACTATGAACATTTGACATTAAGACCGCCGAAACATTACATAAAATAGACGCCAAGACAATACATGAAACAGTAGTTAATGCCCGTAGATTAATCCACAAAAACAATCAAACATTAATCACAGCAATAGTGTTATTTATTGGCCTCCGTACTTTTTAATCTGCGGCGGAGTATCTGGCTGAATACGCAGCTATCTTTACGCAGGTGGCACTGCCGCTGAAACAAACCGAAAGAATGCAGTATCGAGACGCCACTTCAGCGGTTGTGTGCAAAGTCTATGGAGAGTGTGGCACTGTGCGTGCAATTGTCTGTCAACGTAGTTGGCCGTGCGCGCGCGCACGGATGATATCGTTTTTGCATGCCACACAACATCCACAGTATCGTGCGTGGTGGTTTGAAACCTTCCCAGAATTCCTATGTTTTTATATTGTTTTTTAATTTTTTTCATAACATGACCCCTACTGACCAATAGGTGACCACTGGCCAAATTCTGTGAACAAGTTTTGTGAGGTTTGGTCCAAAGATACAACTGACCAAGTTTTACATTAATTGGGTCAAGACTGTGGGAGAAGAAGCATTTTGTAAATATTCATTAAATGACCTCTACTAACCATTGGATGACCAGTGGCCGGATTTTACGAACATGGCTAGGTAGGGCATGTGACAAGGTTTAATTTGGCCAAGTTTGTTTGAAATCGGCCAACTAGTTTAGGAGTTATGGCCATTGTTTCATTGGTCACGTGACCGTTTGCCCGAAGAAAGAAAGAAAGAAAGAAATCGGGCGATCACAGTATATCAGCATGCTTCGCGCACGGCTGATATAATTTGTCCACAAAAAGGGAAGAAGTTTCAATTAATGGAAAACGACACAGTTAAAGGAGCTGAGAGATCTATCACTTGTAAATTGATCTGTATCAATTAAGGTTGCATCTTAATAAGGAAGGTTTAACTGCTGTAAAGTGTATGCTAAAGAAAAGCCAAAGAGTCTAAAGAGATGGCATTAAGTGAACACTTGTGACAGCCAGAGTGGCAGAAGGGCATGGAGTGAGTGTGCACTGGTTCAAAAGCATATGGTGCAGGATTCACAAGACTCATTTTCAAATTGAAGTGCACAAACCTAGGGTGTCTTTGTGTGAGAATACACCTGGGCGAATAAGGATCCTTATTCTACTGTGCTCATCTTACCTGAAGAGCATAATTACATGTATACACAATATTACCAAACAAGACCATTGCTAAGATTTATTTCCTACAGTTCCCTGCAGCCTGCCCGCCATGACATGACCTACTTTTTCTGAGAGAACGTTACTCACAGACATGTTTCTCTGAGCTGGTGTCTTTCCTATTCAGGTATCCAAATTCACCATTATTTTTCATATTGGGGCAATTTCAAGTATGATGGCCTTTTGACCTTAAATTTGACTTTGTGGATCACGTGACCTTGAGACAAACTTGGATGAAATTATACTGCTACATTTTTTACAAATAATACAATATATTTTGTTTGGTTTCCAGCTCATCTCAAAGTTGCCAAACTTGTTGCAAAACGTGATATTCCTCTAGTGGATTTAAAGCAGGTTTTTTTTTATCCCTGAAATGTGTACAAGTATAAAAATGGACGTCCTAATGTCTTCACATTGACAGAGCTCCAGTGGGCACAGACAATGCCGCAGCCAATAGACTCTCCTGCCCATGGTACCCCCGGTATAATGATGATTATTGCCTAGCTCAATCAATGTCAATCTCTTCGCATCAATGTCAATCTTTTGCAATGGAATACAACTGTCAGCTCCTAGTTTCATGTTCCCAGATTCCATAAACCCCAGCCATGGCAAACAGACGCCCTCTCCATACCATGCATCAGCCTGTTAACATATGATTTTCCCCGATCTTCGTTCTACTTGAGAGATTGGGATTTTATTAGTTGCCCTGTCCTGGCCTTGCCAGCCGTGCTTTCCCAGGTTTGTCTGCCTAATCTCTCAAATCCTACTTCTCCCTCAGCTGTGGCAGGACATCGCTGTTTTCACTATTAAGGACTATCACTTATAAGACAGTCCTCAGTTTTAATATTGCACCGCCCTAGGTACCATATCTCCTCAAAAGTAAGTACTCTCCTTCTGTGTGGAAACTTGGGCAGGCAATTCTAGGATAATGTCAGCTCATCATTCTATGGATGGCTGCATGCAAATAGCCATTCTCTTTAGCAACAGCAATGGCCTAGACCCTTACTCCATATCACAAGCATTGGAAGCCAGGTGGTGGCTCTTTTTCGCACAAGAATCAGTCAGAGATATTTTCTTCACCTGACTTCTTCATGCCTGACTTGATACCTGTCTCATCAGATAACAAGCTTTGGTGCCCAATCCATGGCCGTTACTGGTACTTACAACAGATAATCTACTGGTCACCACAATTCCACCACAGCTGCATCTCGTGACATTATCAACCACTGAGTTGTGTCTGCCCAATGTTTAGGATCAACCGTTAGGCCTGACCCCTTGACAACAAGGTAGACATCAACAAAGTCAAGCACACACAGCAGCACACTTGAACCAAGTTCCTTCTCCAACTGGTGCTTAACAGAATAAATCAGTAACGGCCTATCCTTTTTGGTAAGTGCATATTTCTCTGGCTCTTAATTTGGGTGGGTGTTTATCAGTAGGGCTCATGCTTCCTTGTAGCCTGCTGACAATCTTGTAAACTTTTCCTGGCAATATGCTGAAATCCACTTGCCTGTAATGGCTATTATGCTAGTACATGTATAGGGTATTAGATGAGTACAGAAAAACCACACCCTCTCCAAACAGGGGTGTGGGCTGATTCTACACTGATTCCAGAGCTTCGCCCACCTCCTACCCCCCCCCCCCCCCCCACTGCGTATCACTCAAGAAAATAGGATGTGTCATGGTGGGCATGCTGCAAGAATCTATGGGAAATAAATCTTACTAAATGGCTAGCATCTTCTGGGGCAGTATATGTAGTAAAGCTTAAAGTCCTCGCATCTTTGGGGAGCTTCTCTCAACAAGGGGGGGATTAAGGGGAGCTACAAGCAGGACATTTGGCTCTCTCCTCCAAACCTCCTTTTGATCCCATGCTAGATACAGATGTATGTAGCTCCCCTCTCCCAATAAGAAACACTCAGTGCCACTGCTGGATAGTTTTGGTTATAAGGGCTAGCTCAGGGATTTAGTGGTGATTCAATCCCAGTGTGGAAATCAGTCCATTCTTTAACACATGTAAGAAGGGTTCTCTGTCTTCTGAATATTCAGTAATTTTCTTAAACCCCCTACAAAAAGAATTCTCTTAACTTTACAAATAGAAATATCACATGTACATGTACCTCAGTTTGCCCATGTCATAAGGTGATCTAAATATTTTGACACAGAGATAAACATTGTACGTACATTTTGAAGTGTTGTATCCAACATTATGGCACCATAGGTTGGCACACTCATTTTGTACTCCTTCCACTCTGCAAAATGCTCATCAACTTTGGCATTGTACTCTTTAAGAAAGGGGCAATGCCTGAAAAGTGCCACAAGAGTTAAGGTCAACCTGAGTAAAAGTTACACTTCAATTGTTCAACAAAATTAAAATAACAGTCAAGATGAAACGTGCCGTCAAATATGAAAACCAAATTTTCAAATTGAGATTATATACCACCATTAACCCACACAGAGGGCCCTTTTCTGGATGGATGTTATTACAACAATTTTGCAACATTACAAAGCAGGTGGGTAAATGGTAGTGCAATTTATGTATGCTGATTTGCAGTAGAAAATTTAATGTAAACATTATAAGAGTCTCATGGTATGAAATGTCATGTTCAGCTAGCTGGCCAGCAACCACACAATGTGCATGTAAGCAACCAGCAGCGCTATCGTTAATATGAACAAAATAACAAGAAAACCTTGAAATAACACGAAAACACAAAATTTACATACATAAGGAAAATTCAAGTTCGCAGACTGTGCAAAAACCCCTTTTTTTGGTGATGGGAACCAGTAAACCAAGTGCACTGCGTTGCACATACGATCGAGCAACGACCAAGTGGTACGTACTAAATTGAATCAAAAGCTTGTGGTTTTTTTGGGGGGGGGGGAGGGTCATCAAGAGTGGCATTTTTTCGTCTGCGAATTTTGTTATTTAAAAAAAAAATTTAAAATCTTTTTTTTAGTGGCGATTCTGTAATCCAATTTATTTAAACAAGTGATCCGCAGATCACCTGTTGCCTTTTCCCGCGGTCAATGCCTATATGTTTTTTTTTCAACGACCTCAAATAACCCCTAGATGACCCTTGACCTCCAATACCAGAAGAGCTGTGATGAACCCCCACCCATGGAGGACTCCATCCAAGTTAAATTAAAATCTATCAAATTCTGTAGACCAAAAACATTTAAAGCTTATTTGAACAATGACCTCTAATGACCCCCTACATGACCTTTGACCTCAGTAATCCAATAAAAAAATTGTGTCTTCCCACCCAAGTGTCACTGCATCCAAGTTTCATCAAAATCCATGAAAGCATGTAGAAGTTATACATTACTTTTTTCCAAAACTTAACCTAAACTTTAACATAATGGGTCTACGGTCATACAGAATTTACAACTGGTGTCACCCAAAACTTTATTTAGGCAACACAAAAATGACCTGATTGAAAAAAAAAATTATCCACAAATTTGACATGCATAGTAAAGATGGTACCAAACTGCACAGAATTCTATTCAACTGATTCAGAATGAGTTTGGTTTAGCCCATTTATTGGCATTAAGGAGTAATCCTATACAATAGCACTACCCAGCTCTCTTCACCAGCATGACCAGTCCAGTCCACATCCAGTCAAAGTCACAATGACAGTTGTTTAGACAGTCAGTCAGCCTATCAGTCAGTCAGTCAGTGAGATGGGTACAAAGATGACGTTGACCTTGACAATTATTTACCACGTAACTGTAGACAATGAAAGCACTGTCAACAGAAGTTATTTCAAATTTATTCTGAATGACTTTTTCTCAATGACAGAGCATATTTTTCTACCCTTGATAGACAGCCTACCATCGAACAATCCACAAAATTAATTATTTGACCTCCCCCCTCCCCCTCCCAATTTAGACATTTGGCAATGTAGATAATTTCTATCACTGGCCCGGTGTCTTGGAATGGACTGTTGTGGTTCCCATCACCACTCTATTCTTTGAAGACTAAAGAAAGAAATGATATACATATGTATCAACCATGTGGTCTCTGTGTCATTAGTTCAACAACTTGTGCATTTAGACAAGTCAATCACCTACATTTGACCTAGTGCATTCATGGTACCGGGTTAGTACTGAAAGCTGAGTCACAGTAATCCCAATTATAGTGTTAAGCACTTCAAGGCAACATCATCTAGTTCAAAACTTATGCCTTTTGTCTCTTTCAAAGGATATTGGCTTTGGAGAATTCCTTAATACCACAGCTGGGCAGGAAATGTTTCTCAGCTCTGTAGAAGTCAATGTAGAACCAGTGGGCCAGCTCAATCTGAAAGAACACACGTATCATGTTGTTTCTCTCCTCTGCAGGGATGTTGATCAAAAAACGACTGCCAGTACAAGAGCAATTGAAAAATTAGACATGAAGATAAATAAAATTATTGTATGTTAATACTTAACGAGCGCTTCAAAAGTGTATTTGCTTGTAAGTTATTTTTTAATATGTGTAATGGCATGAATGGTACCATTAAGGAGACATGTTATCGTAATTTCTTCACACAATGGGAGACATCGGTCATTGGGGAGACATTTTCATGTCTCCCTAATGTCACAGCCCCCCTTTAGAGGCAACATTTTATTGTCGCAATTAGGTTATATTTGTTGCTTGTGGTCTAATTAGCAAACATACCGAAATTCATGGAAAAAGGACAAGGGAATATTGGGTTAGGCCACATTTAAGTTTGAAACATTTTGTGCACAAGTCTATGGGGATGTCTCCCAAATGTCCAATCCAGGGTAATAATAATTATCACAATTATGTTACACATATACACATTGTGTTAATGAATCAGATGCATGTATATTCTAAAAGATACAACATGTTGCAAGCAACAAAAGACCTCTTGTGAATGTGAGCACACAGATCAAGGCCAGGGTGGAAAGGTTTGCAACATCCTTGTCACTGTATAATAATTACCTGTGCCTCTTTAACCTACATGTGTAGTAAGAACAATTCATGTCACTTTGGGAGTCAGGTGGAGATTGTACTGCACTGTCATGATTACGTTACACATTTTCCTAAGGTAAACCATACAAAAGTTTTGTCCCTTCCTTTTTTTACTTTCCATGTTGATGTGTCTGGTAATGGACACCAAGACTAAGGCTTATCAGTTCAACAGCAAAACCAATGTGAATTTGTATGAGGTCTCAATTGCAATGATAGCAAGAAGTATGACATTTTTTCCAGATGATTACCTACACAGAGAAAGTACTGGGGACAAATCATCCTCAAGTTGAGTAGCAGGTACATGTACCCAGTCTGAAGTTCTAAACTTAGCCTTAACCTTTTTCAGTAACCAGCCGGGCTACTGAAACACACTCTTAACTAGCCCATGAGTATTTTCAATAGCCCGATGTTTTTCTTTTCTAGAGTGTCTCATAAACAACAATGTGACTACATGTAAAAAGTGTATCCTGAGACAATCTTGTCGGTGTTTTTAATAAACAGATCTAATAATTTAACAGTAAACAGTTAATAAAATTAGGTTTGCTTTCTAAATTTAATGATGTATTTTTTCCTGTCCTTTCATCTTTGCTGAAGCTCAACAATTTTTTATTCGCCAGCCGGGTTACTTAAGGAATAGTTTGACCAGCCCACCGCTGTTTTGACTAGCATTTGACTAGTGGGCTACTGTCAAGTCAAACCCTGGTTAACTGCTCTCACTTCGATAAGAGTCTGATAATGGTCAGAGCGCTGGTAGCCTGATGACTCTGAAGCACACATGAGCAATATGAGTAGAAGCATATGAGGGGGCAAGACTTTAATGTGGCTTGACCCCTCCTCCCTTTCCAACCTAAGATCACACTCACCTGCACAGAGAATCCAATACATCTGGAGGTATGGCCACTGTCACCTGTTGACCATCCATGGTGGACCAGCTTCTATCACAATCAATTCTAATTAGTTATGATCAGCATTAGACAATCCCTTGACAGCACTGCCAGCTACACGTAAATGCCTGTTGATAACATCAAAACAATGCACACTATTCACAACATGACACAGGACATAACTGAAGTGCTCAATTGCACACTAAAACCGAAATTTGCATTCCCTGTGCTACTGACATTTGAGCAACCCACCTATGGAAACAAAATTCGGTTTACTGCTCAATCCAACAGGCTCCATCTGGTATGCAGTCCTCCTGATTTGAAAATCACAGGTGTGTAGAAAAAGGCACACCTGGATTTTTCTAGGCGTGTGATTTTTCTAGGCCTGTGATTTTTCTAGGCGTGTGGTTTTTCTAGGCCTGTGATTTTTCTAGGCGTGTGATTTTTCTAGGTGTGTGATTCTGTGGTCCGGGCTGGGACTGAACAATCTGGTACTTTTTTATAATATTCATCTTGGTTTAACAGTAAAGCCATTTTCTCTTCAGTGACGTACTTTTTATGGAGTATAATTATGCCGTAAATGTATGCCAAGGTGTGCGGTAAAGAGTGATTTAGGTGTGCAATTATTCGCACTTCTCGGCGAGCTTTAGGTGCGCGATGGCGTGGGGTGCAATTGCATGCCTCAAATCAGGACTGTATATGATATAGTTGGATTCTGTTGGATTCAGCAGGGTTAGGGCCAAGGTATTTGAACCTAACACCACCATTTGTATTTGGCGATTCTTAGAGTCTAGTTACTCGGACTAGGCAGACTGGCGCAGACTGATTATACCGTGAATAGTAGCTGGAGTTACCTCAGCCGGAAAGAATGTTGCAACCTAACGCCAGTTCAGCGGTTGTGTACAAAGTCCGTGGAGAGTCAAAACAAAATTTGAGATATTTCTCAGTCCAAGATTCACGTCTTGTCATCATTTTGCAATGAATGACCTTCATTGAGATGATACATTATATGAAGAAAAAAGTGGCGTCAGGTTGCAACATTTTTTTCCCTCAGCCCCATATTTAATAACTGGGTTGACCCAATGATAAAATATAGGGCTGAGGTAACTCCAGCTACGTGAACAGTAGACTTGATGACAAGTCGTAAGATAGTCGTATTTTGTCTGTGAACTTCAGTCGAACTCCATCGGGACGACCAATCGAAGCGCCCTGTCATTGGTTTGTCTGATGCTAGCAAGGAGCTAGACTGGTTTTCTGTCCCCATTGTCTTTTGGACTCCAATATTTTTAGGAGGCCCGGAAACAGTCTAGCCAGGAGCCATGCACAAGTCAATCGCAGCCGATCTCCGATATGTGCATGTAACCTCTCCATGTTGCTCGGTAAATCGCTCTCCAAAATGTGGAATTTATTGCGCATGATGATTTATACGATGATTGGCATATTCACTGTATTCTGAACAGGTAAGTACTTAATACTTAGGGACAAATGACATTCAGGTTGAAAATTTTGAGCACGTCGAAAGTTTTTTTTATCAGATCTATGCGTGATTTTTTCATTGACCCCACGTTCACGGGTCCACATTGTGATATACTTGATTTATTTGAGTCATGTATGCCCTATATAATTAATGAATTTTGTAATGTCACACAACACAAAGTAAAATCCCTCGAAGTAATGAGAATGATCTTCCGTCGCGGCCTAGAAATAGAATATGGTACACTCTGGAATCTGAACCAATCAGAGTGCTCGCATAGAATTTGCTAGCAATTCAAAATACTCCCATATGTTGTGTACAAAACTGAATAAGACTACGCGCATTGCAGTGATATTTTGCGAGTGTGGAGCCAGTCATCATCCTCATCATCTTGGCCTGTCCCGTTGTAAATGACGATGAGTTTGACGTCTTTCACAATCGTCAATGTAGGTCTGTGAAGAGACTGAATGCCCTGAGTGGATAGCAGAGCACCAGGAGGAGCGACCCAGTGCAACAGTCCCCCAGGTATCATGTGGATTGTCAAAGGCAGACAAGTCTCGCTTAAGGACGTCCTTGAAGCGCAACCTAGGGCGACCACAAGGACGTGGGGCATCAGCCAGTTCACCGTAGAAGATGTCCTTAGGGAGGCGACCATCATCCATTCTGCGAACATGACCGGTCCATCGAAGGTGACGTACTCTCAGCATGGTGAACATATCAGTCGCTCCAGTGAGAGCAAGGATGGTGGAGTTCGGAACGCGGTCTTTCCAGGTGATGCCAAGTATGGAACAAAGGCAACGGAAGTGAAATGGATTTAAGCGTCGCTCCTGGCGGCTGTGCGTGGCCCAAGTCTCGCTGCAGTAAAGTAGGACACTCAGTACGCAAGCTGTGTACACACGGATTTTAAGATTGATGGAGAGGTCCCTGTTGTCCCACACGCAGGAACGAAGCTGACCAAAGGTGGTTGAAGCCTTCCCAATGCGAGTGTCGATCTCCGCATCCAGAGAGTTGTTGTTAGTGATCGTGGAACCAAGGTAGCAGAACTCGTTTAACACATTTAGTGCTGAACCATTGATGGAGATGTTGGGTGGAGCTGGTGTCCCCTGAGAGAGAACTACTGTTTTGTTGAGGCTAATCTTCATGCCAAACTCTGAACACGCTTTGGCAAAAAAATTGCAGAGGTCTTGAAGTTCAGCTTCGGAGTGTGCAACAAAGGCAGCGTCGTCTGCATACAGGAGCTCTCTGATGAGAACCTTTCTGATCTTCGCTCTTGCACGGAGGCGTGAGAGGTTAAAAAACTTCCCAGAGCTGCGGGTGTGGAGCAGTACTCCTGAGGGGTCAGGAAATGCACGGTGAAGTAGTGCAGAGAACTAGATTCCAAACAGGGTGGGAGCAAGCACGCAACCCTGTTTGACGCCCCGGTGAATGTCAAACTTCCTGAATTTGGAGCCGTTGTGTTGGACTGTAGCTTTCATGTCCTCATGAAATCCCATCAGAATGGCTAGTAGGGTGTCTGGGCAGCTTAAGTGCTTCAAGATGACAAACAAGCTTGATCGGCTCACGAGGTCGAAAGCTTTTGTCAGGTCAACAAACACAGCAAAAAGTGGGCGCTGCTGCTCTGCACATTTCTCCTGGAGCTGACGTAGAGAAAATATCGCATCAGCGGTAGAGTGAGACGAACGAAAGCCACATTGGCTCTCAGGAAGGATCGTGTTGGCAATGACCTGCAGCCTAGGCAGTAGCACACGGCAGAAGACCTTGCCAGCTAAGCTCAGTAGAGAGATGCCCCTGTAATTATTGCAGTCTTGTCGATTGCCTTTGTTTTTGTACAGAGTGATTATATTGGCATCTTTTAAATCCTGTGGAATGCAGAGAGTGTGCCAGCAAAGTGTAATAACATTGTGAAGCTCAACAGCATGGGGCTCACGCCCGTCTTCAGCACTTCAGGAGAAATGCCATCTGCACCAGGAGACTTGTTGTTTTTCAGTCCACTGATAGAACGCTTCACTGCATCTAAGGTAATGACACTATCAAGGTCATGTAGGGACAGAAGTTTTGGCAGGGAAGTTATGGCAGCAATGTCCATTTCAACATCACTAGCATACATGAGCTGAAGTGCTCTGCCCAGTGGTCGAGCTGCGCTGACAAGTCAGTGAGGATATTGCCACTCGTAGACAGCAAAGGAGAGGACTTCTTTGGTGTGGGTCCGATGGCTTCTTTGATGCCTTTGTACAAGCCCCGAAGGTCACCATAGCAGCACAATGTTGGATACGTTCGCTGAGATTAGTCCATTAGCGACGGAGGGCTGTACGGGTTAGGCATTGAACATTAGCCTTTGCAGTTTGGAGTTCTGCCAACGAGGAACAGGTGTTGCGTTCGCTGACCTTTGCTCTGGCTGTGCGCCTCAAGAGCCGGAAGTAGTATGTTGGCACTGTCGCGTAACCAGTCTGGTTGCAACAGAGGGTGATGACCAAAGGCACTTCGAGCACTGTCCATGACTGTAGAGCGGAACCTGGACCATGCATCTACAGAGTTGTTTGGCACAGGGGAAGAGTTGAAATGACCAGTGAGCAGCTTCTGGAACTGGGCGACACAGAGGGTGTCCTTTGTAGCGGCAGTGTCAATTGCAGGGCCTCGGCTGTGCATGGTGGAACCGCTTAGGAAGCATTTTCAGCTTACAGCGAACAAGTGCATGGTCTGTGCTGCAGTCGGCACAGTGCATGCTATGGCAATGAATGACATCACATAGCTGCCTCTTTCTGATGATGATGTGATCAAGTTGATGCCAGCGGCGTGAGCGGGGATGCATCCAAGTGACCTTGAAGCGAAGTGAGCCTGCGAAAAACGTGCTAGCAATGCACAGATTGAGACTAGCACAGAGTTCAAGAAGCCGTTGGCCATTCTCATTCATTTTTCCGAGGCCATGGGGGCTCAGCACACCTCTCCAAGCATTGCAGTCAGAGCCAATACGAGCACTGAAGTCTCCAATGAAAGCAATACTGTCGCCAGCTGGTATGCTGAGTAACGTCTCGCTGAGCTGTAGGTAGAGCACATCCTTGGACTCTGAGGTAGACGTCAAAGTAGAGGCGTAGGCAGAGATGATGGTAATAAATCCGATTCTGAGACCCAAGCGCAAGGACATGAGGCGAGGCGAAATGGAGATGGGATGCTGGATACATGGGAGCAAGGAGTTTTTTACTGCAAGGCCTACCCCATGCATAGGTCTTACAGTGTCTGGGTAGCCGCTCCAAAAGAAGGTGAAGTTCGCTTCCTGAATCGAGCCACTACCAGTGGGCCACGTCTCACTGAGAGCAGAAACACTGATGCCTAGTCGAGTGAGTTCGAAGTCGATGATTGCTGACTTCCTTAGGGAAGAAGACTGAAAGTTCGAGCGGATGTTTAGTGAGCAAACATTCCAACAAGCTAAGACTAGGGAGGCAGTAGCAGGATGACGACCCGGCTGCGCCTGCCTGGAACGCAAACCTTGCCGGGCAACAAATGTCCCTGAAAGGGATGACCCCCGAGTTGCCGGTATCTGTGATTTAGTAGGTTGTACCATCATGATTGTGGGACGCCGAGTGCCGAGGAAAATTAGTGTAAGCGAATGGTTGCCCAAGACAGACGCTTACCTCTGGACCTTAACTCATGGAATCC